TGTTCTGTTGTATGGATGGACCGCAGTTTATTTCTATTAATCATCTCATACCTGCCCTGTCCTGTGAACTAAAGGTACAGTGTCCCCCCTCCCCCAACCAGGACATTCACAGTCCAGTAGGGGGACAAGGGTCATGACAGGAAAGCATGCTGGATGCTGTGAGACCCAGAGGAGGGGTCCAACCAGGCTTGGGGGCGGGAAGGCTTCTTGGAGGAGGCGACATTTGCAATGAACTGGTATGAACCTGGCAGGGAGATGGGTGGTGGGGAGAGTGTACCTGAGACACCAGCCTGGGCAGAGGGCCGGCAGTGAGTCTGAGCTTCAGGGGAACTGCAGGTCACAGGTTTTGGCTAAGGTCAGGGAAGAGACTAGATGGGTCAGCCAAGCTGGATCAGCAGGCCATGAAGGTTTGCATCTAGTGCTTTTTGAGGCCAGATCCAGACTGGGGTCCTGGTTCCCCCAACTCTCCAGCCCCTCCAGCTCTGATTATCATGATCCTGGTTCGCACAGATCCACCGCATGCAGTGCGGAGTGACCCCCATCACCCCCGCCCGCCCCGGGAAGGTGCATGAGCTGTGGGAGGACTGGAGCCAGTGCCCCCTAGAGAACGGCCGGAGGCGCCACAGCCAGGAAGGATGGTGTGGGGGGAGGGAAGGGAGTGGGCTCTGGGTAAGTCCAGAGCTGCCAGGCTCCAATCAAGTGCTGAGGTCAGCTGGCAGCTGGTTGGCACAGATCCACCGCATGCAGTGCGGAGTGACCCCCATCACCCCCGCCCGCCCCGGGAAGGTGCATGAGCTGTGGGAGGACTGGAGCCAGCGCCCCCTAGAGAACGGCCGGAGGCGCCACAGCCAGGTAGGATGGTGTGGGGGGAGGGAAGGGAGTGGGCTCTGGGTAAGTCCAGAGCTGCCAGGCTCCAATCAAGTGCTGAGGTCAGCTGGCAGCTGGTTGGAGTGTCTGCAGGGAAACTGAGGCAGGTGGGGGTCCCGGCAGGGGTCCATCCGTGACACCGAGGACCCGGCCCTCTGCTCCCACCTATCCCCACCCACGCCACCCACAGGCGGAGCTGGAGACCCTGGTGCTGTCCCGCAGCCTGATGCGGGAGCTGCAGAGTACCGTGGACGCCCTGGAGACCAGTGTGAGGGGCCTCCCCCCCAGCGCCCAGGAGAAGGTGGCCGAGGTGCGGCGCAGCGTGGACGCCCTGCAGGTAGCCTTTGCCGACGCCCGCCGCTTCGGAGACTTGCCAGCGGCCGTGTTGGCCGAGGGCCGGGGCAGCATGGCCCGGGCCCACGCGTGCGTGGATGAGCTGCTGGAGCTGGTGGTACAGGCCGTGCCCCTGCCCTGGCTGGTGGGGCCCTTCGCACCCATCCTCGTGGAGCGGCCCGAACCCCCGCCTGACCTGGAGGCCTTGGTGGACGAGGTCGTCGGGGGGCCTGACCCCCGCTGGGCGCACCTGGACTGGCCAGCCCAGCAGAGAGCATGGCAGGCCCAGCACGGGGAGGGAACGGTCCTCTCGGGGAACATTCCTGAGGAGGAACCTGAGCCCCCCAGCCGCCCCAAGCACACCCTGATGCCTGAGCTGGACTTTTGACCCGATAGAACCGCATAGGCAGCTGGAGGCCGCCCTGCACCATGAGAGCCCTGCTGCCCCCTAGCGGCCATGCGTCAGCACTACTAACCGAAGCCTTGGTCTTGGCTCTTGCGTGGAGTTGGGGACCGAACTCCGAATCCTAGACTGAAGTCACTGATGTCAGATTGCCCCTAATATTTCCCATATGAGGACTTGAACGTAACTCAGGCTGACTAGCCCCAAGCTGGTTTCACTGGCTGTGGTCCCCATTGCTCCACCCTAAGAAGCTGATCAGAACTCCCCGGAGGATCACATGTTTTGCCCATGTGATAGAAGCATAGAGGCACATGCTTCTGTCTGGAGCTTTGAAAAGTGAGTGAGTGTCCTTTTCCTCCCCCAGCTTTTCCATCTCGGACTGAGGGGTCCTTAGCTGGACCTGCCGCCCCCACTTGCTTAGCCATTTGGCATTTACTCTCCAGAATAAAGAGTATTGGTGTTGTCCAGAGGCCAGTGCCCTCTGTTCCAGCCGAAGTGGGTCTCAGTGGTGGGGTGCTGGGGGCTTCGGAGGTGTGCAACCATATCACATGAGCCGGGGTTCGAGACTTGAATGATGCCACCCTGACGAGCTTGACCTCCTGTCTGGAGTTTCACTGTGAGTGCCCCACCCACCCGGGTGAAGCATTCAGATGTCTCTTCCTGGAATGGAAGTCATTCACACTTTAATATAAAAGAATGTCTGGGAAACTGCAAGGAGCAGGATCAAGAGGAGGAGGGATCAGAGGGCGCAGCCGCTCCTATGCCCATCTCCCTGTGGCTTTTCTGGCTGCACCGGTCAGGATGGGGGAGACAGAGGCAGGGCAAGGGCCACAGGCCAGTCTCATGGGGGCCCTCCTGTCCTCTGACCGCATTTTTGGCTGGCCCTGAGGCCACTCAGGGTGTTGGGAAACCACAGTCTTATGTGGTAAGGTCAGGGTGGCCTCTGGCTTCCCTGGGATCTGGCCCAGGGGTGACTGTGGGAGTCCCAGCCAATTTGCACCAGCTAGATTCATCTCCCTGCCACTGTTCAGGAACATCCCTGTTGCTCTCAGACCAACTATCTTCACTCCTCACCCTGGCATTTGAGGACTTCAGTTTCATCCTTGGGACGACTCAGACACTGCTGTGGTCCCAAGGAACTGTGCACATCTTCCCACTTCAGGGCTGTTGTTCAGGCTGTGCCTGGAACACCTTCCCACCCCCCCATCTTTCTCTTGGCTACATCTGATCCATCCTCAAGCTCAGCCCCAGTGCCACCTCCTCCAGGAAGCCTTCCCTGACTCTACTCCTGTGGGATATCTCCAACCCTCCATAGCCCACCTTTTTGGAGCTCCAAGTCCTTTCTATCTGTATATAAACCACAGGCAGCCTTGGCTCCTCTTTCCCTGAGAGGCTGGGGCTCCTGGAGGGCCAGGCTCAGTGAGAATGAACAGAATGATACATGGAAAGAGTGTGTGGCAGAGACTTGGCTGTGGGGCATCAGTTTGACTAGAACTGAAGGGAGAGAAAGAGCCTGAGGTAAGTCCTCAAAACTGGGGGAAGGGAGCAGTAGTGAAGGCCCTGGGGCTGAGTCCCCACCTTGCTTACAAATGGATGGGTCAGCGAGTGAGCCTCTCTGAAGCTCAGTTTTCTCCTCTGTGAAATGGGTATGAAAATAGGAGTAAGGCAGCAGTGCTCAGGCCTGTGCAAAGGCCCTGGGGCAGGACTGTGCCTAGTGTCCTGGAGGAGCAGTAAGGAGGCTTGTGTGGAGCAGAGTGAGGAGGGGGAGAGACAGGGAGGAGAGGAGGACAGGGAGGGGATGGGGAAGGAGTTGTGCAGTCTATGGGTGGTGGGATAGACTTGGGTTTTTACCCCAGGGAGGTGGGGAGGAAGGCTGTGGCCAGAGGAGGGATGGAATCTGACTCAGTGTTTATGATCATTTTTGTTATTTTTGCTGGGTTGCTCCCCATTTGCTGCACTGCAGCAGCCCTGTGGGGAGGGGGAGGGGCTCACCCTGGGTTTCCCACCCCCGCTTCCCTGCCACCTTTGGGAAGCATTGGCTGGGGAGAGGAGAGAGTTTGGGAGATGCCCTTGTTTTGCTCCCCAGCTGTTTGGCAAACACAGTGATGGCTCCAAGGAAACGACCCAGGGGTCATCAGGCCCAGTGGCTAGACCCTCCCTCCTCCCAGCTTAGTGCCCAGAGCCACCAACTGGGTCTGTCCCCCCACCCCCACCAGCACACAGCTGGGATCCCTGTCCCAGGGGCAGACAGGGGCGTTCAAAGGGGGCTTGGCCATCATTTCTCTGCTTGTCTACCCCCCCCCACCCCCTTCACAGACAACCTGCAGGTCTGGGTTCAAATCCTATCTCTGCCAATTCCCAGCTCTGCAGCCTCAGGCACAGGATGCCTTTTCCAGGAAGCCACCCTGGGTTGAGCCAAGCCCACCAGGCCCAGATCTCACTCTTGGGGTATCCTCCAGTTCAGTTGGTGCCCTGTCTGGGTCTGTATTTAGGCCCTTTCTCAAGGGAAGTCCTTTCTGGAGAGTGGCACATCCCCTCCCTGCCCCAGACAGACCCTGCTCCTCTCTTTCTCCCTGGACAATGCTAAGCTGATGTCTGTTGAACACCTGCTACGTACCAGACACTGGGATCAACAGGTTATATGCATGACCTCATTTCATGTTCACAACCACCCTCTGAGTTGGCCCATTTAGCCAAACATTTCTTAAGTGCCAACTGTGTGCTGGGTGCCATCCTGTTGCAGGGAACAAAAGACAGGCCTGGTGGATGTGAGGGAGGAAGCGATGGGGGTGTCTGGGGAAGATGCTCCAGGCAGAAGGAATAATAGCAGGTGCAAAGGTCCTGGAGCAGGACCAGGCCTAGCAATCTGGAGTAACAGAGAGGAGGCCTGTGCGGTTGAAGCGTTTTGAGGGAGGGGGAAAGAGGGAGGAAGCAAGAACTTGTGGGCCCTGGTGAGGTGTCTGGAGGGGCAGCTGAAGCACACAGACAGTAACTGGCCAAGGCAAGGTGCCCCGCAAAGCAACTGGAAGACGCCCATCACCCAGGCAGACACCAGAGGCCCAGAGGGTAAACAGGCTGTGCCTCGAGGGTATGGGACGACCCGTGAATCACTCAGCCTGGTGGGGGCAGGTGCTGTGGGCAGAGGCTGCGGGCGCTGGGAGCGGGGGAAAGGTGCTGGGCGCTGGGCCCACGCTGGGCCGGTCGGGCAGGCGGGCAGTCACGTGACCACCCAGAGCCCTCCCCCAGCCCACTGGCTGCCTGCCTCAGCCAGCCAGGCCCGCACCACCCCAGACCCTATAAGGCCTGGGAGCTGAGAGCCCAGCTGCCGGCTACACCACCTGTCACTCCAAGGGACCTCCACACGGTCCAGGTGAGCAATGCCAGGGAGAGGCCGGCCTCCGGGCAGGAGCTGGGGGACTGCTCGGGGTTATGGGTGTCGGGCAGGAGGCCCGGGAGCCCCCATTCACACCCCTCCCCCATCTCTACCTCCTTCCAGCTGCCTAGAGGGTTACCATGTCTGCTCAAGATGGAGGCCAGGATCCCCCCAAACCCAAGGGCAAGGTGAGGGCAGGCATGGGAGGGGACGACCCCAGCTGGGCCCTGAGAAGCCCCCGGAACCTTAGGGAGGTGACCTCCATAGTCCTGGGGTCTGAAGGGGCTTCCCGGGTCGGTTGGGAGGACTCTGAGAGCTACCAGGCCAGTCTTCCATCTGGTCCCCAGCTGGAGGGTGAGGGGTGGAAGGATGCACTCAAACCTCAGTTCTTCCCCTGCTGTGTGACCTTGGGCCAGCCTCGGCCCCTCTCTGAGCCTCAGTCTCCCCATCTGTAAGATGTGGACTCGGAAAGGAAAAGGTCTTTAGAGACCCAGAGGATTATTTCCTCTGTCCCCAGGAGGTAGACTGAACCTGCCCATTGCTCAGGTGAGGAAACTGAGGCTCAGAGTGGTTGGGACACTTTCCTGAGGTCACCCAGGAGCAAGGGTCTGGGGCGGTCTGGGAACCCAGGGCTGTCTGATGTGTCCCTTGCCCCGCCCCACCACACCTGGCTCTGCTCACACACCCCCCACCCCGTGTAGACCCTGGGCAGCTTCTTTGGGTCCCTGCCTGGCTTCAGTGCTGCCCGGAACCTGGTGGCCAACGCCCACAGCTCAGCAAGAGAGGCCCGGCCAGCTGCCGAGACTGCAGGCACTCCAGCTGAGGAGGCTTCCCAGCCCCAGGCTCAGGGTGAGTGGACAGTTCCATGGACGAGGTGGGGCGCAGGAGGTGGACCCCAGAAGGGATTTCTGCCGACCTTGGGGGTGCTTCTTATGTGCCTGTGTCACCTCAAAAGACCCTGTGAGGCTGGCATGCTCATTTAGTGCCAGGTGGGGACTCAAGGCATCAATACGAGTGACCTGAGGGGGCACAAGTCAGCCAGAATAGGGGCATGGACACAGCCATGCTCCCATGTTCTCAACGCCCCCTCTGCCTTCCATCACCCCATTTCTGATGTACCGTGGACGTTCCACAGGTCTAAGCTCCTCTGAGATTTTGATCCTGGTTTCAGAGGGGAACAGCAGCTTTCCTGGGATCACACAGCCTCCAGTTGCTCAGCCAGAGTGCTTGGGGCAGCCCTAGCCCTAGAGCCTGAAGAGGGGCTGGAGCAGGGGAGTGCAGGCTGAGGTGGCAGCTCTGGGCGCAGAGCCCCACGCAGCTGATTTCTGCTCTGTATATCCAGGCTGGGCAGGCAGCTGCCAGCTGTAGTCAGGCGCAGCAAGGCAGGGCCCCAACTCCTTTCCCTGCAGCCGCCCCCCATCCTTGATGGGCGTTCAGCACCTAGGACCCCATCAGAGAGAACTCTAGGGAACCCCTGTGCCAGGAAGCCAATGTGGGGGTTGAGGGAGCCCCCAGTGAGGCCAGTGACAGCTAGGCCTATGCCCATGGATGTCACCTTCTGTTGTCCCCGGCAGGGCAGCTGGGACATTCCTGACCTTTCAGGCTGTGCCCGCTGATTATGCAATAGGCTCTAGGGTGGCTGATGCTAGCCCGCGTCCCTCCCTGGGTTGCCTCACTGGCTCTTGTCCCCCCAGCGCCTGCTGACCCGGAGCAGACGGCCAGGGGGTTAGAGAAGACGCTGCTGCCTTCAGACAAGGTGAGAGGGGCTAGCAGAGCCTGATCTGATGGCCTTGCCTCCCTCTGGGGTACCTCTTCCCTGGATGTTTCGGTTCCTGCCATCTGGAGGGTTGTCATAGGCCAAGAAAAAAGCAGACACCCCTGTGTGTACTGCTGTGGAGTGACAGGCCAGTCTTCCCCTTGGAGCCTCTATTTTTGCATCTGTGAGATGGGTGCAGTACTCCCTGGCACCATCCAGTCTACAGACCCCCCACTCCCCGCCAACTCCCACCCTGGTTCTGTACCTAGCACAATGACCAAAACAGTGGTAATGCACTCACCACATGTCAGGCTCTGGGCTAAGTGCTTTACACATGCTGTTTGATAGTTAATCCTCCCCACCGCAACAGGAAGGGAGCAATGGTACCCCACATAAAAGCTGAAGCACAAAGAAGCCAAGCCATTTGCCAAAAGTCACACAGGAAGACGAGGTAGCTTGGGATGTGAACCTTGGGGAGTCGGAAGCTAAACAATGGCCAATGCTGCATCCACCCTTGGTCCTGGATGAATGGGAACCGCCCATGTAACCCTGTCCCCAAGGTCAGGTCAAGCAGAGTGGCTGATGTAAGACCACTGAGGGCCACAGCAGGGTGGCAGAGCTCCAATCCAACCCTTCCGCTCAGCATGCACCCCACTCTAGAGTCTTCTTTGACTCCCCTCTGCCCTCAGCTTGGCCATATCTGAGCTCCTCAGAGGGCAAAGTACTGCTTGGTTTGCCCTCTGGCCCAAACTAAAACAGACTCTGGCAGCTTAGGGCCCCTCTACCCATTTTTCCACTCCTCCCTCTCCATCCCTCTTCACTTGCATTAATGGAGCATCTGCTACCTGCAAAGTTGGTCAGGGACCTTGACTCCTTTTTTTAACCAGTCTTTGAAGGAGGTGCTGTCTTAATCACCATTTCCCAGATGAGGCTCAGAGAGGGGGTGTGGCTTGCCTGAGGTCACACAGCAAGTATGGGAGAGAGCTGGGATTTGAACCCAGGTCTCTGCAGGCAAGGTACCCACTTGAGGCGATGTTGGGCAGAAGGGCAGGTGGTGAGATTTATTTCAGGGCTTCTCGACTTCACTATTATGGCCAATTCAGAGTCAGATCATCCTCTGTGGGGGGCTGTCCTGGGCATTGTGGGGTGTTTAGCAGCATTCCTGACACCCACCCACTCGATGCCAGGAGCATACTCTCTGAAGTCATGACTACCACAGATGTCCCAAGACACTGCCCAGTGTTAGGATCACCGGGGCAGGATCACTTGGGTTTAGGAACACCTGAATTGGAAACAGCACACTCCTGGTTGAAGCTGAGTGGTATCTTGAGGCCATCACAGCCCTTCAGTAGTTTGGAAGAACTAGCAGAAACTGCCCTGTGCTACTGGGTTTCCCTGGTGGCTCAGTAGCAAAGAATCTGCCTGCCAATGCAGGAGACTCGGGTTCAGTCCCTGATTTGTGAAGATCCCACATGCCTTGGAGCAACTGAGCCCGTACTCCATAATTACTGAGCCTGTGCTTTAAAGCCCGTGCTCCACAAGAGAAGCCACTGCAATGAGAAGCCCACACCACAACTAGAATGTAGCCTCCACTTGCCACAACTAGAGAAAAACCCACTCAGCGACAATGACCCAGCACAGCCAAAAATAAATAAATTTTTAAAAAATGACATACCAAGTTATCAGCTTGGTTCCTATGGCTCAGACTTAATATTTGGCCCTGTACTTTTCTGGTTATTACTTTAAAAAATAATATTTATTTGGCTGCACCAGGTCTTAGTTGCTGCACGAGGGGTCTTTGATCTTTGTTGTAGCACGGGGGATCTAGTTCCCTGATCAGGGATCGAACCTGGGCCATCTGCATCGGGAGTGTGGAGTCTTAGCCACTGGACCACAAGGGAAATCCCCAGTTATCACATTTCTAAATGTGGATCCCCTTCTCTTACTTGAATATATTCATGTTAACGAGCATTTGGTCACCTCAAATTTCTCCCTGTGATGGGGACACCAGGCTCAAAATTTGATGTAAACCAAGATTAGGCAAGATGAACAAAACATGTAATTCTAAGACTTGCCGAGCCCAGGCTAAGGGATATTGGGCAAAGAGGGTGCTGGAGCATAGCTGTCAACAGCCAGGGTCTACCACATCTGGGCACCACGTGGCTCTGCGATGAGGCTTGATGGACTGTGTCCTGGGAGCCAAGGCTGGCAGTATGTCGGGGTGAGAGGTGAGCTGGCTGGGTGTCCAGGGAGCAGACCCCACTCCCCAGGGTATATCAAGGATTGGGGGGAGGAGGAGGTCTGGGATGGGGAGGAGAGGTATCTTTCAACTCTCTGCTTCATCACAAGTCTCTTGCCTCATCAGATGATCTCCGGGGCAAAGGACCTGGTGTCCTCCCAGATGGCCAGAACCAAGGATGCTCTCTCCACAGGGATGGCTAGCATTGTGGACACGGCTAAAGGTGTGGTCCAGGGAGGCCTGGGGATGACCCAATCCACACTGACAGTCACCAAGGATGCTGTGGCCAGTGGGGCAACTGGGGCAGTGGGTGTGGCCAAAGGGGCCCTACAGACCGGTATAGACACCACCAAGACAGTAGTAACAGGCACCAAAGATGTTGTGTCCACTGGGCTCACTGGAGCCATGGGTATGGCCAAGGGGGCTGTCCAGACTGGCATGGACACCACCAAGACTGTCCTGACTGGCGCCAAAGACACCGTGTCCACTGGGCTCACGGGGGCTGTGAACATGGCCAAGGGCACAGTCCAGACAGGCATGGACACCACCAAAACCGTCCTGACTGGCACCAAAGACACCATGTCCACTGGGCTCACTGGAGCCATGGGTATGGCCAAGGGGGCTGTCCAGACTGGCATGGACACCACCAAGACTGTCCTGACTGGCGCCAAAGACACCATGTCCACTGGGCTCATGGGGGCAGTGAACATGGCCAAGGGCACAGTCGAGACAGGCATGGACACCACCAAGACCGTCCTGACAGGCACCAAAGATGTTGTGTCCACTGGACTCACTGGAGCAGTGAACATGGCCAAGGGCACAGTTCAGACTGGCATGGACACCACCAAGACCGTCTTGACTGGCACCAAAGATGTTGTGTCCACTGGGCTCACTGGAGCCATGGGAGTGGCCAAGGGGGCCGTCCAGACAGGCATGGACACCACCAAAACCGTCCTGACTGGCACCAAAGACACCATGTCCACTGGGCTCACTGGAGCCATGGGTATGGCCAAGGGCACAGTTCAGACTGGCATGGACACCACCAAGACCGTCTTGACTGGCACCAAAGACACCATGTCCACTGGACTCACTGGAGCAATGGGTGTGGCCAAGGGGGCCGTCCAGACTGGCATGGACACCACCAAGACTGTCTTGACTGGCACCAAAGATGTTGTCTCCACTGGGCTCACTGGAGCCATGGGAGTGGCCAAGGGGGCCGTCCAGACTGGCATGGACACCACCCAGACCATCCTGACTGGCACCAAAGATATCGTGTCTACTTCAATCACTGGGGCAATGGGTGTGGCCAAGGGGGCTATTCAGGTTGGCATCGACACCACCAAGTCCGTCTTGACTGGCACCAAAGATGTTCTGTCTACTTCAATCAGTGGAGCAATGGATGTGGCCAAGGAGGCAGTTCAGATTGGCGTGGACACCACCACGTCCATCTTGACTGGCACCAAAGATGTTCTGTCTACTTCAATCAGTGGAGCAATGGATGTGGCCAAGGAGGCAGTCCAGATTGGCGTGGACACCACCACATCCATCTTGACTGGCACCAAAGATGTTCTGTCTACTTCAATCACTGGAGCAACGGATGTGGGCAAGGAGGCCATCCAGACTGGTATGGACACTACCATGACCATCTTGACTGGCACCAAAGGTGCCATGTCCTCTGGGCTCAGCAGTGTAGGGCACATGGCCCAAGAAGATACGCACACTGGGGTGGGCATCATCCCAAACTGGTTACCTGACTCCAAGGCTGCCACCTCAGTTGGACTTGCCAGTTCCAGGGCCCCAGATGAAGGAGAACAAACCATCCCAAGCCCCCCTCAGGCTCAGCTCAGCGACCATGGACCTCTGTCAGCTGAGGCCATGTTCAGCCAAGAGGCCACCCTGGGCAAGGTGGATGCTGCTCCCGGGGCCACCACTCATGGCCAGGAAGGAGCCCAGGGCTTTGCAGCACTCCGGAATGAGCTGGAGGAGCTGGGAGAGATCTTCCAGCCCATGAGCGCCGAGGAACAAGGTAAGCACAGCCTGGTCCCAGATCCCAGGGCCACGGTTGTCTGTACACCCCCAGACCCCTGACGCCCAAGTGGCCTCTCATGAGGACTGAGCAACCCCGTCTTCCCTTCAGCTCAGCTGGTTGCTACCCAGCCCAGGCGGAGGGAGGTCACGGCCGACCAGGGCAGCTACTTTGTGCGTCTGGGTGACGTGGCCCCCGGCTTCCGCCAGCGGGCTTTCGAGCACGCCCTCAGCCACCTGCAGCATGGTGAGTTCCAGGCACGGGACGTGCTGGCCCAGCTTGAGGACGTCTTCAGGGAGGTAAGAGCCTTGCGCCTTCCCAGGCGTGTTCCTCAGCTTCGTGTCGGGGACTGGACGGACACGCACTGAGCACCCAGTATGTGCCCGTCGGCCACTCGGTCGCAGGCCTACTCTCAAGGAGCTTGCCTCCCGGGGAGGGAGATGGACACGTGACCCAACACTTGTAACCAGCGAGGCTGCAGAGAAGGAAACACGACAGTCGTGCAGAAATGGGCAGCAGGGCTGGGGCGTGTCCATTTGGGTCACATCCTGTGGAAAGTGGGGATGACAAGGACAGACAGTGGCCTGAGAACAAGCTAGGTGTGTTCTGAGGAGCAGAAGGGTGACCGGGGTAGGGAAGGTAAAGTAAAGGGGTGAACAGGGCAGGAGGAGCCCATGCAATCTGGGTGGAGTTCAGTGATGCAAGAAAGGGGGCCCAATCAAGGGTGACTTTTTTTTTAATTTTGGCATTATTGCCGCAAGCAGCCGTTCTCTAGTTGTGACGTCCAGGCTTCCCACTGCGGTGACTTCTCTTGTTGTAGAGCACAGGCTCAGTTGCAGCACGCTGGCTCAGTAGTTGTGGCCTGCAGGTTCTAGAACCTGGTCTCATTATTTGTAGTGCACAGGCTTACTTGCTCCGAGGCGTGTGGCATCTTCCAGGGTCAGGGACTGAAACTGTGTCTCCTGCACTGGCAGGCAGATTAACCACTGGACCACCAGGGAAGTCCCTCGAAGGTGACTTGAATGCCCTGTGGAGACAGGCACCAGCCAGCAGGGTTGTGCTCTCTCAAGGCTCCACTCATTCCCCAGGCCCAGGCTTTCTCCCCTGCATCACTGCCAACACTCATGCCAGCTCCTCGTGGGTGGTGGGGCTGACCTGTTGCAGTAGTAAGTTAAGTGGCATCCAGTCCATGGTTGATTCAGACAGTGATGGAGACCCAGCTCTGAGGACCTCCAGGTTCTCAAGCTCACAGGTCTTAAATATTGAGCAGCCCCACCTACTCAGGTGGTGAGGAACCTAGCCGAGCTATTAAGAGTCAGGATCCCTAAGATGTGCTCGGGTGCCTGTGTTTTCAATCAGCAACCAGGGGTCTGTGGTGAACCACATCTAAGGACCACTGCTCCAGCCCAGAGGGTCTCAACGGGGCAGTCCTGTCCCCAGGGAACACTGGGCCAAGCCTGGGGATGTCAGTGGGGGTCACTCGGCGGGACTCTTGGCATTGAGTGGGTGGGAGCGAGGGAGGCTGCTCCACACCCCACAGGGCCCAGAACTGTAAACTGAAGATGGCCTGATCCAACAGAGGCTTTATTGAGGTGGATTGCTCTGGCTCCTGTGGGGAGGAGAGGCCACAGGAGTCCAGGAATGGAGATGGGAAACAAGTAAGGTTTGAAGAGCTGGGTTCTAGATGTATTTCCAGAGCAGAGCAGTCAGGTTAGACATGGGAAGTGAGAGCCAAGACCCTCTAAGGCCTTGGAGACTTTCAGCAGGAGACACTTGGAATTGCCTTGGGTAGGTGGGTGGTGGACATTATGGCCTGGTCTTTGACAGGGTAACCTGAAGATAAGCAGGAGCCCCCTGATGGAGTCAACTGCTGGGGCGAGGGCTAGGAGGGGGAGGGAAAGTTGAAGTGTATATTTGGTCCACTTGCCGAGGTCTCAGGATAAGATTAGTCAGTGGGGGTGGGGGCTTCCTATGTACCAGGGACCCAAAATACAAGGAGGAAACAGTCATGACAGAGCTCCAATCCAAGAGGGGAAATCAACACAGAAATTCATGATAACTAGACAGTGATAGCCTCTGAGGAGGGAAACAGAGATCTGATGGGGAGGGCCTGGGGCCCCGGCACTGGGCCAGAGGAAGCACATTCCAGGTTGAGTGAGGGGCATGTGCAAAGGCCCTGGGGCAGCAGCACACCGGACATGCTCAGGGACAAGAACGGGCCAGTGTGGCCGGAACAGAGCACCACAGGAGGTTAGCAGGAGGGGAGGTCACAGGCACCTGGAGCCAGCCAGGTAGCCAAGGTGAGGAGCTTGGTTCAGGGCCTCTGGGAGATGTTGGGGGTAGGGGTGGGGAGGCGCTGAGCCAAGGTGACAGTGCCGCTGCCATCCTGTTCTCCGAGCGCCTGATGACCTCACAAGGAACCAGGATTATCGCCTCTTCACGTGCCACCCTCTGGCTCCAAAGCGCTCCCCCAAGCCATGGGAAAAGTGGACATGAAATGCTGGGCCAGGGAAGGCCACCCTGAGTGTGTCAGAAGGGGTCCCTGCTGAGAAGCCATCACATTTGTGCTGGGCTCTTTTTTTCCTAGATCGAGGAGGCCCAGCAGGCTCCGGTCAGGGATGCAAACAGCCAAACAGAGGAAGCCGCTGCTAGGGAGGTGCGTGTATACCAGTGAGGGGCTGGCAGGCCCGCCCCTTGCTTCCAGCCCCTCACCTCACTCCTTCTGTGCACAGGTGCCGGCCACTGGGGCTCTGTCTAGGGCCTGTGACCTCGTCCAGCAGCTCCACGTGGCCTACAGCCGCCTGGCCTCCGGCCTCCAGGGCCTCCCCACAGAGCTTCAGTGGCAGCTCCAGCAGGCGCGGCACAGCATCTGTGAGCTCTATGGCGTGGTCTCCTCGGCCGCCACGGTGGCGGAGCTGCCAGTCAAGCGGCTGTCTGAGAGCCGCCAGGGTGTGGGCCAGGCGTGGCGGGGCCTGGAGCAGGTGCTGCGGAGCGTGCAGCAAGGCCCTCCACTTGGCTGGCTGGTGGGGCCCTTCACCCTGCCTGCCAATGGGCAGCCGCTGTAGGAGCCCCTCCCCTGCCCAGAACCAGCTCCTACCCTCCGAAGCTCTGGGTCCTAGAGTTCCACCACACCATGCACCTGGCGCCAGGCCTGTCTGTACCAGGCGGAACCTGCCTCCCTGAGCACAAGCTCGGCTGGTCCTTCTGGCCGAGGAGTCCCAGGCAGCTAAGACCCCCGGTGGTGGGCCTTAGCCTGAAGATCTCAAGCAAGTGTTCAAGAAAGGGTATGGGGCCTGCCTAGAAAATTCTCCACTCCATACCCTGACCAGGGCCCTTTTATCTTTTATAAACTCTGGGGGCCTTCCACCCCAAGTGGGGTCCTCTAGCCACCAGTTAGCAGGCAGCCCTGCTCCTCTGTCCTGGGCTCCAGGCAGCTCTGTCCTTGTTCTGAAAGCACATGTCCAGCAGCTAACAGCGCACACCCCCGAACATACCAGAATGCTGTCGTCCCAGGGCAGGCGGCCTCCCGCCACCTCTGCTGACCCTGCTGCCTCCACTGACCTTCGGGGGAGGCCAAGGGTCTTTGTGAAGGCAAAGCTGAAGCAACTGAGGGCCAGATAGTGCAGGTGGCGGGGGGGGGGAGTGAGTATATGTCCCTTCCTGATGCAGCCCATCCACCAGCAGCACCCCTGGTCATGGCTGATCACAGGGGTCCAGAGCTGATGTTCTAAGGCCCTGGGCCCAGGAGCTGCCGATGAAGGAATAAAGGGAGAGACCCCAGGGAACACATGACAGAAGGTACTCGAGCAACTTCCCTTAAGGTCCTGCAGTTAGGGCTCTGGGCTTTCACTGCTGATGGTATGGGTTCGACCCCTGGACAGGGAACTAAGCCCCCACAAGCTACATGGTGTGGCCAACCCCCCACCCACAAAACAAAACATGCTTGACATGTGTTCAGGTCCTGGTCAAATGCTCCAGGCCAGAGACCAGGGGCTGGGTTGGCAGCCACTGGACAGGCTTCCTTTCCAGACATACTTTCTTTGAGTCCTTGAGGCATCCTGGGAGGTGGGCTGCACACGGGAGGGTGGGGCCATGGAGGTCCAGTCCCCCTGATGCTGCTTCCAGGACCCGGGCGATGCTGGGGGAGCTGCTGACCACCAGTAGCCCAAGCCTCGTCAAGCGCCCCCACCGCAGAGCCCATCACACCTGCACCCCTACCCCCGCTGGCCACCTCCCTGACAGAGGGCTAGAGATGCCCCCTCTTCTCAGAAATGATCAAGTGCTCTGAGCCCCGGACGAATGTGCCAGCTGTCCCCAGAGGTCACCACGTCTGCCAAGGCAGGACACAGGGACCAGTGTGGGACCTTCCCCAAGCCTTCCCTGCTTTGTTGCCCATCCCAGATGGTCATCAGAGGGGGTGACGCTGGAAACGGTGGTTCACAGAATCTGAGCTCAACGACAATCTCAAGTCCAACCAAACCACAGTTGGGGGGTGCCAGGCCCAGAAAGCAGAACCACGCCCTAGCCTCTAATCCACCAGGACAGAGAGGCTGGGCCACCAGCAGGACACATAACAGAGGCGAGTGTTTAAACAACTGCCATGTGCAGGTGCTTGGATGGGCAACACACACACAGACACACCACACACACACACACACACACACACACCCCCACCATCCCCTTCTCTGGTCTAGAGAAGCTCAGAATGGAGGTGCCACTCGCCCCACGTCCACAGTGAGGCCTGCCCCCAGGCCCTCATCCTCCAATTGTCAGGAACAATGGCCTGTAGCACCCGTCCTAGTATTTGGGGAAAGGTCTCACTCATCCCGTCTCCCTGCCCCTCGTCAGCCCTGCAGGGCCAGGGGCACCATCAGAACCAAGTTCACATCCGCGACTAACAGTGACCTTGTGCTTTAAAACCTTCTGTCCCTGGACTGGCCCTTGACCACCACTTAGGAAACCAAGCCAATAAAAGTGACTTTTTTTTCATTATAAAAACCCTTTATAGTCATTTCATGTGGGTTGGAAACCACAGAAATTAGACAAAAAAAAAACCCAGGGGGACAAATACAAACGAACAGCACAGCGTCTCCCCAACAGTTCTCTGCGCACCAGGAAGGAGCCAGGCCGGCACTGGGCAGTTGCTCAGGACGGCGGGGTCTGGCCACAGGCTGCCCAGCTCAGCTCTCCTCCTCGTCCAGGGACTCCGAGTCCATCCGCAGCCGCTCTCGGTCCAGCCACTCCTTCCCGGGCCCATCCAGGTCAGGGCCCTCCCTCACGGTGCTGGGAGAGGATGGTAGGGGCAGGGTGAGCAGGCCACCTGTCTGTCTGTCCCCTCCTACAGGGCCCAACTCGCTCCCCCTGCAGCCCCGCCACACAAAGGCAGGCACGTCCCCCACGGCGGACGTCAGGAGGAAGCCACCCCACCCCTCACCCCAAGCCCAGGCTCAGGGCAGCTCTGAATTCAGAGCTCCCTCCACGGGGCTGGGGGGTCAGCATGTGGGGCAGAAGTCCCTTTGGCCTGGACCCCACTGAGAGTGGCTCAGACACTGGGGTGCCTTCTCCAGAAATGGGCCCTGTGGCTGGAAAGACACTTACTCATTGTGTAACAGGTCTTCGGAGGAGCCACCTCCCAGCCCCTCCTCCGAGTTCTGTACTTGCTCTGGCTCCTTGTCCTCGGCACTTTCCCCCTTCTGGGACGCAGCCTCGCCGTTCACAGGAGCTGAGAGGTCTGTGGGAAAGAGGCTCATGGGTCACGGCAGGGGGCTACCATCGGGGACCCCGCAAACCCTATCTGAAGAGCGTGAGCAACATGCGAACCTCAAAGGCCCTCAACCCCTTCGTGTCTCTGCTTTCACCGTTCCACCCAAGCCACCAGACACGTGGGGACAGCAGGCTGCGTGTGGGGACAGCAGGCAGCGTGTGGGTCCTTCTCTAGCCAGTCCCTGACCTTGCAGCCTGAAGATGCGAGGGGCCGGTAAAATAACGGCCCGCAACACCGGGAAAAACCCTGCCACGGCCAGATCCAAGAGACACAGGAAAAACATGGCCTCTACCATTCCTGGGCAGCCTCGGCTCTGCCGACTCCCTGTCGATGCCCACCTGCCAGGCTGCCCCAAGCATCTCAGCAGGACCATGTGACCCCTCCGCCCCCGGAAGGCACGCCCTCCTGGCCCAACAGCCACGGCCCTTGCTCCTCTTGGCTCACCCGTGGCCCTCCCTCCTCCCAGACCTCCATGACCGCCTGCTCCAGTAACACTCGCACACTTGGCAGCACACACATGGCCTCCCAGACTACCTGACTCTGAGGGTGGTGCCTGTGAGCAGCACAGGGGTGTGCGGCCCAGGCGCCGGCCACCTTGTGGACACAGCGAGCCTGCACGGCCTGTGCCAATGTATCGTGTCCCCAGGCAGTCTGGGGGGAGCACCGGCCCATGCTCAGGGCCCTGCTGGCCACCTTTGTCCCTCGAGCTCACCAGTGCTCGCCTCGTCCTCCGCCCTCTCTGTGGGGGCCTCCTCTCCAGCCAGCACTTCCTCGGCCTTCTCAGCCTCAGCCCTCTCCTTCTCTGACCCGGTTTTGGTCGCCTTCTGGATGGCCTCGATCTTTGGTCCCAGGACCCGAGACTTGAGCCGGGTGTAGACCTCCGCCGCCTTCTCCATCACCTCCTTGTTAGCCTTGTAGCGGCGGATCTGGCTCACCAAGAGGCCTGGCTTAGGAGGTGCAGCCGCCTCACCCCGGTCCTGAGACCCTCCCTCATCACCACCACCCCTGGCGGTGCCTCCCATGAGCACGGCTTCCTCCTCACTGACCACATGCAGCCCAGCTCCCAGAGCAGGCCCATGCCCCCAGCCCCTTTGATCCCTTGGCCCTGCCATACCTTTTTCAACGTGGCCACGACATCCGTATTCTTCTGAAGGATCTGTGAGGTCACCTGCAGGGTCCCTAGTTCCTCCAAGGCATTCAGACACCTTTTCACATCCTGCAGGTGGAAAGTGCAGTCAGCAGCATCAGCATCTAGTTGAGGGGGCTCTTGGGGCCCAAGAGGGTGGGGAGGGACACCCTGGGGCTCCCTCTATGGGGAAGGGCCAAGTTACAGGGAGCCGGGGACAGTGGGAAGGACCAGGACTCACGTGGCACCACCTGGTGGAGGTGCAGAGAACTACGCCCAAGAGGCCAGGCTGGCCCTCATCTGGGGGGCACCCACCCCGGGTAGCCTGGTTTTGCCTCAGGGTTCTGAGACCTCTCAGGAAGCTCCAGCAGTCAGAGGATGGGGAACCTAGCCGTGATCTCTGTACCCCAAGGAAGGTCTCACCGGATTGTCAACCTTCAGGGCGAACTTGATCTCGCTGTGTAGTTTCTGTAGCTTCTCCTCCACGGAGGGCTCTGCAGGTAGGAGAGCAGGCAGCGTTGGGCCTGAGAGGAGTCCCCGCTGACAGCAGCCACTTGCTCTTCCAGGGCCACCCCTCGTCCCTCCCAAAGATCCCAGGCTGCAGCCAGTGCTGAGCAGCCCCTCACCTTTTTTCTTCTCAACCTTCCGGTCTGGTGGGAACCCTTCTGACCGCTTCCGGGTCCGCTCCACCTTCATGGGCCTGTGGAGAGTCAGTCATCCCCTTAGCGGACCCCTGATCCATGTCCCCACCAAGGACCAGGGGCCTGTGAGGGGACCTGAAGCTGCTGCAGAAGGAAACAGTCAGTAGGCCCTGGAGGCCAGGAGGTGGCGGCTCAGGGCCCACCTGATCCAGCTGAAGGCAGCGCCTAAGGGGACCAAAAAGATAAATCCTTCCTCTAGGAAGCGGATAACAAATTTCTTTTTTTTTTTTAAACAAGTGAATAAGGGTCAGTGGTTAGTTACATAAACTCCAGTGCATGAGTTACTAGAGGTTCTGATCCGATGCTAGGAAATAGCAGCAGACACGTTACTGCAGCTCCAATTCCATGTCCTGCTCGGCGGTCTGGGCCGGGTCAACCTCTGCAGGCTGATCTTGGTGTTGTGGGGTAGGAGCAGCCTCTCTGGCCCCCACCCGTCAGATGCCAGGAGCACCCCACTGTGACAACCACAGGTGTCCCAGATACAGCTTGGTGCCCCAGGGATAGGGTCGCCCAGGGAAAGGCTCCTGCACAACCTGATGGGAGTCCTGAGAACCAGATACTTCAACTACTTCAGTCTCCAAGACTGACTTTGGACCCCGGGGCCCTCCCCTGAGTTGTGGGGACCCCTGGAGGCCATGGGGGGGGGGCAGCATGGGACCAGACCTGGCTCGCGGCTTCTCCTCAGAACGTCCCCTCTTCTCCTTCTGGCTGGGTCTCCTCGCAGGCTCTGTGCTCTGTGGCTGCAGCTTCTTAGCTGATTTCTTCACCTGCGGCAACCAGGGAATGAAGGGGCTGGAGCAGCAAGCAAAGGGGACTCTCCAGACTCCAAGCTGTCCCCTTAGAGACACAACTCAACACACCCTGCCAGTACCTCCACCTGGACAGGAGCTGCTAGACCAGGTGGGATGGACCTCACGTCCAGCCCATCCCTTTGCAGCAGCTTCTCAGCCCTGAAAGGACTACCCAGCAGTGGGGGGGACCCCACTGCATTCTTCTGGCTGAGCAGGACACTTCCTGTGCCAAGGCACTTGCCCCCCCCCCCACTTTGTGACAAAAAGAAGAGTGGTACAGAGAGGACAGGGCATTGTTCCCCTCCCTGATCCCTACAGAGTGGGCTCCTAGGCTCACACCAAAAGGCAATGGGCCCAGGAGCTCTGATTCCTGGGCTCAGGCTGGCCTGTGAGAGCCATGAAGCGGGGAGCTGACAGTCACAAGAGGCCTCATTGCTCCCTCCCTCACCCACAAGCCATCCCCCAACTCGGCAGCCAGAGGGCACCCATGAGCACCCACCCCATCTCTGCTCACAGTCTTCCAGGGCTCCCACATAAACCACCAAGTCCTCCAGAGGGCTACCTGGCCCTGCATGAGCTGTCCCATCCCCTGGCTTCTCTCCCTTGCTCACTCTACTCCAGACACAGGGGTCTCCTCACTGTCCCTCCAACACACCAGGTACAGTCCTGCCCCACAGCCTTTGCATGTACTCTGCCTCAGCCTGAAAATCCCTCCCCCAAGTATCTTCCCAGATCTCAGTTCACTCACCTCTTTACTTAATGTCAGCTGCCCACCCGCAGCCCATGAGGTCCATCCTATTTGAGATGGAAGCCTTGGCGCCCCAGTGTCACCCTGCCCGCCCCTCAAGGCACTGGTGGTACACTCTCCCTCCGGTGTCAGCTCATCAGCAGGGGCTTCTTGCATTTCCGGGCCGCCTTTGCTGCCCCGTCTCTGGTCCTGGCGCTCAGGACATACACAAACATACCTCTCTGTCCAGCTCAGCCTCGGGCTCCGAGTCGGAGGAGGACTGTGGGCCCCGACCCCGGCCCTTGCGGCCGCGCTTCTTGACTGGCTCGTCGTCGTCCTTGAGCTCCTCGCCGCTGCTGCCCGCGCTGCCCCCAGGCGCCGTCTCCCCGCGCTCACGCTCGCGCCGACGCTCCTTCTCCTCCTTCTCCTGCTCTCTCAGCCGCCGCAGCTCCTCCTCCTGCTCCCGGCGCCGCCGGGCCTCCAGCTCACGTCGCCGCTCCTCGTCCCGGCGCTTCC